CAAGATACTCATGTAATGGTACAAGATCCCAATGATGAATGTAACTGTATTTTATACCTAAAATGTACCAATAAACTTAATGGGAAAAAATAAATAAAAAGCAAAGACAAACAAAAGTTTACATAAAATGGCATAAATGTGGCTTTCATTAAAGTCACTGGTAGCTTATTTCATGCAACAAAGGCAGAGAGAGTGCAGTAGAGAAATCCTGCAGGCTAGTGTGGAAAAGAGAGCCATAACCTTAGCTCTGTTAGTTTCTCAGGGACCCTGGGCAAAGCCACCTGACCATTTTACAACTAATCTTCCTCAAAAATAAATGGAAACACTACTGTTTACCCTATCTATCTTATGGGTTATGGTGAGTACCAGATGAAATAAAGTATGCAAAAATACTTTGGAATAGTGTAAGTTTTATTACACTAATTATTAGGAAGATACCCCTATATATGTCCACAACATGATATGTACAAGAATATCTACCATATCTTCATTCATAATTGCCAAAGTATGGAAACCAATATCTATCATCAGCATAATGGATGAGTAAATATACTCATAAAAGAGATACTACATAGTTACAATAACAAATAATTTATAACACGGATGGGTCACAAAAGGCCTGATTCCAATTATTTGAATGATCAATAACCAGCAATACTACTCTCCTAACCCTAACCCTAACCCTAAGTCACTAGACATTATCTAGGGGGACAGGAGGGTTCTATCTTGAAAGGTACCAGGGACACTCTCGAGTGTTAGGCACCCAGGAATATGAATGTGTAAAAATCCAGCAAGCAGGGCCAGGGATTTAGCTCAGTGGTTCTGCTGCCTGCCTCGCAAGCGCAAGGTCCCAAGTTCAATTCCCAGTAACCCCCCCACAAAAAATCCAGCAAGTTGTATGCCATATGATGTGTACATTTACTATATGAATGTTCTACCTTAATTCAAACTTTGAAACTCTATCTTAAAATTATTGAGTTCTAAACAAATAGGTAACATTGTGATATCCACTACTGCTTTTTTTATACTAGCACACAGAAAAACTACAGAGATTTAAAGCAGAAAAGAGCAAAGGAAAATATTACAGGGTGCAACCGGGGCCAGCAGCTAGAGAAATGAAAGTATGAAACTTTGTCTCAGAACTCCTCACAAGGTTTTAGCGATCTCTTACACAATTATGCACAAAACCAGTTGTACTCTTGAAAGAGAGCACATGCGTGTCTCCTCTCTAGGTGCACTCGGCGGGTGGAGTCAGTGAGGTGGCACAGTGGTGTGACAGGAGGGTGGCTGGACAAAAGTCCAGGGGTTTAAGTTCCAGTCAATTCTTTTAGGCACTAGCTTGCTAGGAGATGCTGAGCTAGTCAGCTTCACCTCTCTCTATAGCGTTGTAGGTGAAATAACCAGATCACTAAGCTCTGAGCCTCTATGATGCTAAAGCAGAAAATCATCAAATATCAACAACAAGGAAGGCCAGATGAGGCGGTTAGAAGGAAATCAAGTGCTAAAACTCTCCCCCAACCCCACCAAGCTTGTATCCAATGGTTATTTACCCAGCTGAGCCTTTCGGACACCCACAAAAATATTATCCCAATGCTATGGGGATAAATCCTCTTTCTCCCTGTGTTCTTAAATGGAATAAAAAGGACAGAGAACTGGGTGTTATTCCTAGAACTGGACTCCTGGCCAGGGACTTCCTGTGAGATCTTGGACACATCACTTTATCTCTACCAACCACTGAGGGTGGTGGTGATAGGTGAAGGCACAAGGCTACACAATGACTCTACCCAACATCAAATGCTAGCAGCATGTCTAACACAACCACCTAGAAACAGAAAACGTCAGGTGAAAGAACTGACCGGTTATAATGACAATAAAGATGAGTTATAAAAGAAGGGCAATGTTCATGCTTGGGTTTCAGTGAAATGAGAGGTACCAAGAAACTTAACAAAAGAGATTATCTAGAATTATGGAAGAACTGACTGCTGTAGGCCTGACTTATCTCTATTTCTAAAAAAAATCATAAAATCCACACTGTTTTCTAAAACACAATGGAGAGAAATGGCTCTCCTTCAGATGTTATACAACTGGAAAATCATAATTTAATTTTCACTTGAAACTGACACCTCTAGATAATTATTTCCTTTCAAATGTCAACATTTAATAACAAGAACTCAAAAGCTTGCTAACTTTAAATTACATATGGTATTCTTTGAAAGAATTTAAATGGACTGTGAGGACTGTTCTTCCATCTCTCTGATTACAGTCAACTTTCCTTAAGTGATCATTTGAGAAGTGACCAAACTCAACACGTGAACACAATGTAAATGAATACTTCAGTGCATGGTCAGAAGTGATTACACTTTTCTAACCTGGCTAAGAAAAACAGCTGAAGCATGGACGTCTCTCCTATTAGTACCACAAGGAATCAGCTTTCTTGAGCCCAATTCTTAGTCTGCAATTCTTCCTATTATCAAGTATATGTGTACTCCCCCTTCTACACTTCTAAAAACTAATGCCAGGTCGGGGATTTAACTCAGTGGTTCCACCACCTGCCTTGCAAGTGTAAGGTCCTGAGTTCAATCCCTGGTACCAAAAAACCAACCAAACAAAAAAAACTAATGCCATTCAAAAAACATTTTTAATAAAAAGATCAAGATTTCACTCTGAAAATCAAAATAAAGGAGTCACGTGATTGGGGTGGGGTTACTTCAGATTGAACCCACGGCCTCTCCACTGAGCTATGTACATCCCCAGCCTTTTTTTTTTGGACACAGGGTCTTGCTAAGTTGCTAATTCCCCAGGCTAGGCTTGAACTTGGAATCCTCCTGCCACAGCTTCCCAGAGTGTTGGGATTACAGGCATGTAACACATAATTATGCTTTTGTGTTGGCTTTAATACCACTGGAGACCATGCCTGGCCTCATCTGATTAAACCAGACACAAAAGTATAAGTTTTGCAAGCCAGACAGGATAGAGTATATGCTGAAGGTGAGTCAGAATTCAAGCTCTAGCCTGTGGTCCTAGGGGTTTTCTAATCACCACCTGCCTGTGGGTCATGCAGTATCTGTTGAGATGAAGGAAGCAGAGACTATTGTATTTTGGAGATTGTTGGTTAAGGTTCCACTTGTAAGAGCATCCACTTAGGAATGAAAGGCCAATGCAGTGCACAGGAAGCAGTATTTTCATCCTTGCCTGGGTGCCCACGGTGTAAACCCACCTAATCTTTCTGGGGCTTGGCTTCCTAGTGGTAAAAGGGATGGTATTCTGCTCCTGTCAATTCTTAGCAGGTCACTGCAAGGATCAGAGAGATGGTACTGGGTACTTTGGTTCTGGAGTTAAATACATACAAAATTTTATTACCATTAATGTCTATCATTAATATATGAACATCAGGTAATACAAATGGCAAAAATGTTATATAAACATTTAGTATAAATATTAAATGGAGCTTAAGCACTGGTAAATATGAAAAAAAAGAAAATGGAATTTTCTAAGACATAAAAGACAGTCTGCATAGCTGCATAGTAACTGTGCAAAGACTTTTTCAGAGACTGTGAGATACTATACGTCAAACTGCCTAGCGTAAAGTTAGTACACTGTAAACTTAAGTTGAATTTCCCGATTTCTCATCTTCCATGACAGGGAGGTGTTGCTGGTTTACTGGAAGCCTGCTTACTGTGCCTCGACTGAAAACCCTGCCCCCAAAGGAAGAAGATGCCTGTCATAGTAAGGCAACCAGGAGTGGGAGAAAAGATTCGTTCCACTTGTTTTTTATGATGTTCTCTCTATTCAAAGATATGAAGTTCCTAGAGTTGTCTTAAACTATAACTGACGTCTGTTCTGGTGATATTAGAAACAACTAAAAATACACCTCATACCCAGCAATTAACTGAAATTTCTCTCTCTAGCTTAATTATCAGACATTAAAATTCCTAATGCTTAGGCTCTGTGCCCCTCAATTCCAAAGAAGATATCACATTTGCAATATAGAACAAACCTCACAATTTGAAAGCACATTATCCCTTTTTAGATTTCTTTTCTCGCTAATATTCTGGATTCACTGAGCTGTGACACTCTTGGTTAAGATGTACTGATGGGGGGAAACATCATCTTTTATAGATCAGTGCTCCCCATTTCGTCCCCAAAATGTAATATGTACCCAACTCTAACCTGGATGACAGATTTTGACAGGTAATAATGACTAAAATTAAATTATATGTCTTGACCTATTTTTCTTGTTTAAGAAAACTGATAAGCCTTCACTGTATGTGATGGTTAACATCATGTGTCAGTCTGGTTAGTCTATGGTACCCAGCTGTTCATCATCCACGTACCCAGTGCTTGGGAGGCTGAGGCAGGAAGACTGCAAGTTCAAGTCTTGTCTGGACAACAGTATCTCAAAATAAAAAATAAAAAGGTGGGGATGGAGCTCAGTGTGAAGGCTCTAGGTTCATTCACCAGCACCACCAAAGAAACAAAAATAAAAACCACTACTCTAGAAGTTGTTGTAGATGAGATTAACATTTACAATCACCTGTCTTAAGACAATTACCCTTGATAATGCTAGTAGGCCTCATCCCATCACCCAGAAATCCTCAGCCTGTCCTATAAACTTCAGACTTGCCAGCCCCCACAATAACATGAGTCAACTCCATAAAGTCAGTCAAATGAGTTGTGTATGTACGTGTTTGTGTATTCTATTTCTCTGGAGAACCCTGGCTGATACACTCCAGGTGGGGCAAGGGGGCAATTATAACATTGTATAAAGTGACAAAGAGAAATAAAACCCAGCAGTTAAGTGCCACGCTCAAGCTCATGGTACTCAGTACTGGCAAAAAGGAGTACAGATACTGTGGAACACCCAGAGACAACAGTAAGCACCTTGAAGTATGCATCTAAAATTCCAGGATCTTACTCTCTAAAGTAGGGGCCATATTTGTTCTTTAAGAAAAATTTTACCAGGCACAGTATTCAATAAAAATTCTTGTACACTAACTTCTCTCAGAGTTAATTCAAGGTGTTTTCAATATGGCCTGCATTGAGACACGTGAGGAACATTTTCATCCTTGTTCCTGACAATTCCTTAACAGATTCCTATCCATCTGCTCCAGGCCAAGCTCTCCTTAAGCACATAGTTTTGGGTCCCCACCACCACCCTGTGTGAGATTCTCAAGGGCAAGAATGCTGAGCACCGTGGACACAGCAGCAGCTCAGTAACTGCCAGGATTGGGTCAGTCGGGTGAGATCAGTGAGCAGTGTTATGAACTGTACACTTCTGAGCTATTTGATGTAATTTCATTCACACTTCATCACAACCTTGAGTATACAATGATTACAGAATGAAATACTGTATGTGATTCATAACTGAATCAGATTCAATACAATACTCATAGATAAAGAAGGGAGGCCTTGACCTAACAATTATGTCAATCAAAAGCTCATGGGGTAGGGCTGGGGATTTAGCTCAGTGGTACTGCGCCTGCCTTGCAAGCACAAGGTCCTGGGTTTGATCCCTGGTTACCCCCAACTCTCATGGGGCCTTTACAGAAAACACTTGAATAAACTTTACCCTAGACTGTGAGTGTTTTAGCTGTTTGGCTACTTGCTGCTCTTTACAATACTGAGGACAAATCATGTCTAGGAACCATCTCAGACCCACAGAACAGAATCTCTAGGGTGATTCTGATTTAGGGGGGCAGGGGTGTACTGGGGACCTTAGCACTGAGCTATGTCCCTAGCCCTCTGAATTTTTTATTTTGAGGTAAGGTCTTGTTAACTCGCTAAGTTGTCTCAGTTAGACTTGAATTTTCGATCCACCTTCCTCAGCCTCCCAGCGTGCTGGGATTACAGGCATGTGCCACATCCAGCTGATGCTGATTTTTATTGGGGGGGGGGAGACAGAGATAGAGGGGAGGGAGAGAGAGAGAGAGAGAGACACAGACCTCAGGTGACTAATATGTGGCCAGGGTGGGAATCATTGGGCTAGAAGGATTTCATAGCCTTTACCAGGGTGTAGGATAAGCTTGGTATACACTATGGAGTTTAGTAGCACTTGTAAACTGGGATTACAGTTGAGTTCTAGAAACATAACCATGGCCTATAGAAAACTAAGTAAATTACAATGTCTGCTATGAGGAAGATACAATTGAAGCAATTTGCTTATTGGCTGAATAAAGAGAGGGTGTACACTTTACTTACTCTTAAAATTCACCTTCTGTTGAGGACATCAAAGAAAATAATGTCCAGTTCCCTAATTCATCTAAAAACAGGGAATCATCTCTCAATACCTTTTTGGCTTCCTCAGCTGTGACAGAGCTTCCAGAGGCTTCATCATTGGTGATCAGAGTAATTCCATCTAAAAAAGAATTCACAGAATAAAACCCAAACAAGGAAGTCAGTCTCAGCCCCACTTTCCTTTCCACACCTCTACCCATCTTTGCTCTGGAGACCTGTACAACTGTAAAGGTGATCCATCCTAGAAATAACACAAAACTGTATAATAGCAATTAATGTACAGTTTTTGTTTCATTTTACATTGTTATCCTTTCTCTCATTCTTACTAATACAATAAGAAAAAGGCTGCATTTCAAGTTCTACCCACTCCATGAAGTCTTCTTTGGTCCATTCCAGAAAGAAAATTTCCCCTTTTCTAAAACTCTCAGATCACTTTGTCTATCCCTTTCAAATAGCTCTTATCACATCTTATGTAACTGTCTGTACATGTTATCTATCCTCATAGACTGCATTTTCCTCAAGGACAAGGACTAAGTCTTATTCATCTTCATACTCCCCTCCATGCAGTACACATGAAAAGCTCAATAAATAAATGTCTGAATTACTGTATACGTCTGTCCAAACCTACCAGGTGCACAATGCTAGACTCTGCATGCATTTTGACTCCTAGTAGTATTACTGACCATAAAAATAAAATAAAAACAAAATGGCCAGTGGACAGGTCACAAGGAAACATGCTTTTACAATTGGCATGTTTATCATTCAACAAAGCACATCACTTTTATTTCCATGAGGGCAAATCAAAGAAGATCTACTCTTTAGGTTTTTCTTCTTCGTAAGATTTTTTTCATATCTCAAATGGCCAGTGCATGATATACTTTCAGAAAATCACACATATTTAACATACATTTGTATCTAGAAATGGCATAGGTTGTATATATTCTCTCAATAGCATGCACGCTCTCAGAAAATATGTGTATTGTAAATGTCCCGTAAGATTTTTTTTTCCCAGTAAATAATATGTGATAGGCATTCAGTGAATATCCATATCAACCTCTTTCATTTACTGGGTCAGCAGGAGAGACACAAAAGTGATTGAATAAGCCCTTTCACCAGGCATCCTAATTGCTTTTGCTCCTCAGTGTAAAGGTGAAAGGGCTGAAAAAACAGCTGTCAGGAAAGAGTTGCCTATGTGATAAAATACTGTTAGAGGGTATGCAACTCCTTTTACACAAAATTTACATAAAAGATGGATTGAAACTAATTTTGTTTCCTATTATAAGTGAAAACACTTCATACTATCTCTTAAATGTTGATAATAGGTATTTTTAATAAATAACATCTTACACTTGGGTTCTGAAAGAAAACTGGGTCATGTTTCAAAAAAATGGGAAAAGGGCATGAAGGAAATCAAACATCAAGCCTGATAATACTGAAACAATGTGTGTTCCCTTCCCTCTGGGTTTAAATTGCGTGGGCTACTGTGAGGAAGTGAGAAATTGAGTGGTTCTGGCACGTGACGGTGGCAGGCTGCTGATAGAGATAGCCCAAGAGCATGGCCACGGCAGGTAACAGGAAACAAGTGTGGGGGAGTCAGTCCACGTGCTGCAGACTCACTAATCTGAAATGGCCTAGGAATGGAAGGAGGGTCAACATTTGCATGCATGATGGCTTCAGACAACAAACTGAGGCACAATCTTGGAAATGGGTCAGGCTGTAAACATTGGAAGACAAGATATCTATTTTTACTTGTTATTTATCACTCTATATTTATGCTTATTAAGTTCAACAAATCCCAGGCATTTCCCAAGGCAAAATGGAAAGTCATCAGGTCCCATGTAAGACATTACACAATATTATTTATACTTAGAGGCTACGTGTATATTTTTCAAAAACACTTGGGAGAAAAATGACCCTTTACCTTGAACAACAATTTCCCAGAAATGATTTAACTGCTTAACTTCTACTTTCTCTCGAAGGGATTTCAGGAAACTGTTAAAGCACTGTTCTTCTGAAAACTGGAGGCCAAGAGAGGAAGAGAAAGTGACATTCAGAGCAAATACAAAACCAAATTCTTCCCTAGACCAAAGTAATATATATTTTGAATCTACCATATTTATAAAGAAATAAACTGTCCTTCTTTGGTAAATTGCAGCTGGCAATTCAAACTTAGCTTTGTTTGCTGAGAACCACAACCAGAAGGCACAGGCTTCCCACAGTCACTCATTGTTTTTAGTAGCCTGGAGTGTTACTTTTAACTTTTAATACAGACAATTTCAAACAAAAACAGAATAGACAGACACATTTTTTTTTTTTTTGGTACCAGGGATCGAACTTGGATCCTTGTGTTTGCGCAGCAGGCGGCAAAACCACTGAGCTAAATCCCCTGCCCAAAAACAGAATAATTTAGTGAATGCTCCTATGCTGATCACTCAGCTTCAATAATTATCAATGCAACCAATCTTGTTTCATCTGTATCCTTACCTTCTCTCAGAACTCTTGGTTGTTTTAAAGCAAATTTTAGTAATTTTATTTCATTTACAAATATTTCAGTATTCAATATCTAAAACACCTATTCTTTATAAATATATTAATGTGCATTTAGATATTGTAGATATATAAATGAGGGTGAGAAAACATACTCAAGTGTCATTACATATCACATAAAAATTATTCATTTCTTAGTAAAAGCAAATAACCAGTTAGTATTCATATTTTCTTAATTATTCTATAAGTTTCTTCCTTTTTAAAAAAATAACGTTACATTTAAAAATGATCCACTTTTTTTAAATAATCTAAATTAAGATCGACTGATATGTCTCTAAAATATGTTTTGTTCCTCTCCCATCTGTTTTATTTTTATTTATTTATAAATTTTTTTTTAAACAGTGCTGGGGATTGAACCCAAGGTCTTCACACATGCAAGCCAAGTGCTCTCGCACTGACCTACAGCTATGGTCCCAGCTCTTTCTCTCTTTATGAGAACCTAGTGACTTGGTGCTTCTAAGGACATGCAGTGGCCACAGTGTACATTGTTATCAGATGCCCTATACAACTTAGGATAGTGTTTAAAAAAAAAAAAAATCAACATGTTTTATGGCCTTTTCCCACCTAACCACATCTTTCTCTACTCAACTGACTCAGGCATAGTCTTAATTCTACTTTTGCAAAATTTTGTTTTTTATCTGTAAGGTATTTGGGGCATCTCCTTCTTTTATTCTATCTAATTTTAACTATTTTCTCATTTTCTTGTCATTTTTTATAAGTACTTAAATTATTCAAGCATTGATTTGTTGATTTATTCAGCAAATATTTAATAAGCACCTACACAAAAACATACAACTGTGCCTACTTTAAAAATACATTTTCTAAGGCTGGGGATTTAGCTCAGTGGCACTGTGCCCGCCTCAAAAGTGCAAGGTCGTGAGTTCAATCCCCAGTACCAAAAAAAAAAAAAAGAAAAAATACATTTTCTAAATTGAAATTTGCTTACCTCTTGTCTAGCAGTTTAAAGGCCTATAAATAATCTACAGATTTTTAGAAGTGTTTTCTAAAACATCCTAATAAAACAAACAAACAAATAACTAACAAATGGTGAGGGGAAGCTGAGTAACTATTAAAGAACAATGAAACAGTGTTCTTTTTTTCCTGGCACTTAAATCTCTACTCTTGTCTTTATAAAATCCTCAGTAATTACACCAATATATATTTTCCATCAATTTCCTTCATATAGCCCAACATAAGAGTTCTAATACAATAGTTAGCTTTTATAATAACAACAGGGCTGCCAGAGCTTACAATGGAAATTTCCATCGTTCTCTAAGCAGGAACATAAAGTGGGCTTTGATGTCATAAAAAGCAAGAGAGATAAGACATTCCTCCCACCTGTCCACCTGAATTCTTCCTCAGAAATGACAATAACATGAGTTTCATCATTTCCACTTCTCTTGGCATACACTGCTACTCACGGTGAAAATAATGATTTCCAAAGCCCAGACTTATTTGTGGAAAGCTGTGTGTCTCTCCCTTGTAATGGCCACTAGCTGTTTGGGAAGAAAAGATAGGCAAGGTCAGAGTTACCTTAATGGCTTCGTCTCGGAAGGCTTTGATGCAGTCCAAGCTCTTCATAAAATAGGGTGTTTCATTCGTATCCAAAAACTGCTCAATGTGGTTTATTAGCTGGTGACTTGCTAGAACATAAAAGAATAAATTTATTTTCCTAGCTGTGACTGATGCTTGTTAGATGCAGAGTATGCTTCCTGGTGTGTGGCTATAGAATAAAGTATGGAAGAAGACCCTCATGATCAGTATACACAACAGCACGACTTCTTTGTGGGGGGTATAAAATTCTGATTTCAAAAGTCATATTTGAGAAACATGGGTAATACTGCTATTCATCAAGAAATAAAAGTTCACTTCTGCAATGCTTAGTGCTAAGTATTCCTTTGGGGATATTCAACACTAAATTGTAGTTGTTTTTTAAAATCTTGTTGTTGCTTTTTTACTACCCCCCACCCCAAATTCAGGCACCATTTGAACAATTCAAAACTACCTTTTCTAATATATTCATAGAAAACAGATCTTCTAGTTCCTCCCCAACCCCTCTTGGGATAATTGTCAAACAGTACAAGGCAATGAAAAGTAATGAACCATGGACACCCCATCTTCTACCAATCTCAGATTACATTAGAAAAGAACAGCCCCAGTCTTTTTTTTCCCCCAGTACTGGGGATTGAACTCAGGACTTTGCACTTGCAAGGCAGGCACAGCACCATTGAGCTAAATCCCTGGCCCCAACCCCAGTCTGAACATAGAATCCCATGAGATGAGAAATCATTACTACATGTCTTACGCTCTTAGCTGGACCTAAATATTCCCCATGTTGCTCAGCACTCCCCAAGCTATGAATACTTAATAAACACAGTCAACAAGCAATGTTATAAATGTTACAGAATGAAGAAGTACATTAATAACATTATCATTTCCAAAGCAGGTTACAACTTGAGGCTGCCTCACAAAGAAACGAAATTCCTCAGTATGAAAAAAATCAAAGGAAAATAGAAATGTGAAAGTTATCAGGGAACTTAATCTGCTGAGCAGATCAAAATTGACCCTTTCAATCTGTGAGGAAGAACAAATCAAGGAGATTCTCTGCTTTGTCCCCTGAAACCACTCATTAGCTGACTATTTGACAATTCATGCTGAATGGTCAAGATATTCTAAGTGTGCCATGAGTCAGAAATTCTTGACCTCATTTGAGTATTCTAGTAGTTAAAAATGTTTAGGCGCACAATACTAAAGTCAAGTACCTTACTATTCACCTGTAAAGGCTCAAGGGCACTAATTCTATGAACTGGTGACCTTAACATTGTTCAATGCCTTAGGAAAGACATGAAATTGGTCATCTACTTATTCCCTAAGGATCTTACAGCATGTGGAAAGGATTTAAAAAAAAACTAGATGAAGCATTTTCTATTATAGCAATTTTGCAGGATGGGAAAAATATCCCCACCAACTATTTCTCTTCTACCAACTAGGAGATTATGATTTCCATTACAACAAAGCATTTAACAAACTTGAAGGATTAAAGAAACACTTCCCTGCAATTTTAGAAATCTTTACCAATATATCCTCCAGCAGTGAATTAATATCCAACTACAATTCAAAGGAGAGAATATTCAGATGGTCTTTTTTAACAAGGCAAATAATACTACCCTGATTAACAAGCAGAGCAAAAAATCACCAACAAGAAGCTCAAAGCAAACAGAAGCTACCCTCCACTTTTCAGCTTAGAAAGGTAAAGTAACACAAATGTTTGATATTTCTCATACCCCTGAGAAAAAAGCCTACTTTCTCAGGCAGTTTGATATAAAGTTCACCCAGCATTACATATCTGACCACAAATATAAACCTTTACAGGGCAAGGGCAATAATACCAGAGACTCCATGGCTCCCATTGCTCCTGAAATGTGAATGAAGAAACTCTGAAAGCTATAATGGAAATGTTTCTCTTTGACTTAGCGACTATTTTCATTAATTTATTGTAGTAAGTATTTATTGTGTAACTACTATATATAAGATATTATGCTGTGTTCTGTGGTAGATACCATTAAGTTGAAGCTAAGACCTTTGCCTCTGAGGAATTTATTGTATACTAGGGGACATAATACATGTATACAAAAACAATAGGAGGTAAATGTAAAGAGAGCTATGTATGATAGGAACATACTAATTGGTCTGATTTTTTTTAACCTATTGGTCTGAATTTTTAAAAAATTTTGGTGGTTACAGAAAGCTTCGTGAACTAACATGGCTTTTTAGCTGGACCATAACCAACAGACTTTAGCCATCATGCAGCAGGAAACAGAACAAGCAACAGAATGAAGAACAGAGTATGTTTAGGGGAAAAAAGCAGAAGACCCAGTACCTGGATAAGAACAGGGGAAGAAAAAGGAGTAAGAGTTAGACAGAGAAAGGTTAGAGGGAAGATATTCCAAAAAGAGAGAATACTGTGTGTGTGGTTCCTGAGGCAAGGTCCAGCTTGGCTCCTGAGAAAGTAGAGGAGAAAAAAAAAAAACAGAGAGAGAGAGAGAGAGGTCCTTAGAAAGTATAAGAGGCAAAAAAAGACATTCAGGACCAAGTCTTTTAGGACCAAGTCTTTTAAGAACTATAACATTTAGAGGTTGGATAGATGAACAGGAGCTGAAGGAGGAGCTTTAACAAAAAGTGTCATGGAGACAGAAAAGCACATATGAAGAGACTGTTTAAAGAAAACAATTAGTGGTCTAGTATGTTCAAACTTTTATAAAAAGACAACAAGAGGAAAAGTACAAAGAACACAAAGGATTAAGGGCTGATGCTTAGGTAGTCCTGTAGGCTAGAAGTAAACTAGAAAGCGCTGAACTGCTTTTTTAAAAAACCATACCTTCCTGACCCATTTTATCGGCTATGTTAGAAAACACACATACATAGAGTTGCCATCTTACATTACCATCTTACAAAGAAAAGTATTCAAGATAAATTAAAATAAGCAAATGTCAAAGCCAACAATCCATTTAAAATATGGTAAAGAAAAGTAAGTAGGAGTATCAATACCGTTTCTATTTAAGAATGAAGCCCTCGTGTACCCGTAGAACTATTTGGATTTATTTTTTTTATTTACATATCAGACTGTTCTATCCTTTTCTCCAAAGGGTTCAGAAACATAAGCAGATAAACACAACCGAACACCCAATAAACTTGATGAATACAAAAAGCCAGGTTTTGTACTTCTAGGAACAGCAAGTTATACAGTCAGTGCATCTGTCCCATGATTTTTTTTTTCTTTTTATTGTGGCCCATGATTCATCTGTACCTCAACCTAGACTACTTTGTGATTCATTGACTATAATGACCATTTAACATCAGGTAATATCTATGATGAATGATGCTTTATATACTGTACTAAATACTAGAATGAGATGTAGATAAGAGATTTCCTTTCCAAAGTTTGGTGGAACTTCCCATTACCCTGCCATTTTTAATAAAAGTAAAATGCAGAAATGGCTGACAAAAATAATCTATTTTGGCTGAATTATGCTTTTGACTCCCCTGCAAAAAGGAAATGCTGATCATCAGGGTGCTTTTCTCTGCTTCTATAGCAATTACGGGCCTAAGGAATGGCCTGTCAGTCTTCATACTCAGTAAATCACAGCCCCAATTATAATTCACCAAAATGTTCTTCAGAATTAGTCAGTGACTCATTAATACTCTTTAGTTGCTAATATAAGAAATGACCATTGGAAGGGCCATCCATCTTAGGGTACTAACTGAGGAAAGGGCTGTCATTTATCTCAAGGGATTCTTCAAAAATGTTTGTTCTGGAATTTTAAGTTTTATATATGGACATTATTTTGTCCCGTATCTTACATGAGTGCAGATGTTGATACACAAAATTAGTCACATAGTTAAAATCTTAGTATCATATTCAGAAAGTTACAGATTCAGAAATGTTACATAAGAGGAAGGCAGTAGAATTTCCTTGTTTAATCTGAAATACATGTTCTCCCTCTCTATAGAAAATATTCAAAGCCACCCAAAACCCTGTACAATGGACCATCTCCCTCCGTGGTACGTGGTAACAAGGACCAAAACACGCAGGGTCATGGGCTTGACTGTCTCTGACTTTATATTTGCTCACTTCCACGGTGCTCTGTGGTTTCCAGTATAGTGACAGCAAGTGCTCATGTTTCCAGTATAGTGACAGCAAGTCATCTATTGTGAGGTTTTTCCCTTTATATGACAGAGACAGAAAAGCAGTAGGTTCACTTATCTGTCACACATTATATATAAAGGACTGCTAGAGACATCTCAAAGGATTTTTGCTGAACTCAGGCAACATTCAGGATGTTTCCCAATTTAATTCTCACTATCTCAATGCCTCATGTGAATTTTACTTACTGACAAGCTATACATTTTACAGATGTCTGCAGTTAAATATTTAACTTTTAAATGTTAACAAATTTATATACCCAATGACAATGGTATCTTTATAAATCAAAAGTAAAAGGCAACAACAAAAATCAAGTGTTTAAGTCAAACAAACATAAGGCCAGGGCACTCATTATTAAGAAAATAAAAAGAAATAAAGATTCATCAGCAAAAACTCTAGGCAAGTAGTCCAGTTTACCATGAACCAAATCCACATGTAAGTTACAATCAATGTTTCAAGACAGAAACTTAAAAGAGACATTTATCTGATAAGAAAAGGAGTTTGTAGTTTCAATAGAGACAACTAAACCAGAAGTGGGTCAGAAAAGTCTTCCTCTATGTCCCTTCAGGATACACAATGGCCACTGTGGGCAAAGATTGTATGTTTATCAGTCCGGGTACAACCAGAAGAATAGAAATTACTCTGAATACTTAACAAAGGGACAATGCAGGCAGTTGTTTCCCAGCTAATGAAGAGCTGTAAGGCCAATAGAGAATGGGGTTATAACCCAGAGACCAGCAACAGCAAGAATCCCCCAGCCCACTATCCTTCCCCTAGCCCAGTGCTGTGGCATGTGGGAAAAAGAGGAGATGTAACTAGAGCCCACAGACCTGTCCTACAGGAGGCAAAGCCATGGAAAACAGGAGATACTGGCCAACCCAACAAGGGCCAAGGAGATACCTGGGTTTCTCCCTCCTCCCACCAATCTCCCACCAGTCT